TTTGGAAAAAACTCGGCAATTGTATAGTTCTTATTGCATTCGCGTGGAATTCGTTTGTTGTTGGTTGTATTGGGCGAATGATGAGGTTATTTTAGTTGTTGAATTATGATTAATTGAATCGGAGATATAAGAAATTGCTTTGCAATTGTTCGCAGTATTTTGTTCTGTTCGTATTGCATTTTATTGAGCAGCGTGAATGTGTTGTCGTGAAGCAGAGCAATTTGATGGCAACGCAATTGTGATTGGATTTATTTAAGGGAATTCGTTTTCATATATTTAAGAAAAGAGGAACTTAGAGAATATAAAACAAAAACGAAACAAACAAACAACGAAACAGCAGCAGTCAAAACAGAATGGATGGCATCGATCCGGACACTCTTCTGGAGTGGCTGCAAACGGGGGTGGGCGATGAACGCGATTTACAGGTTATTTTCACTCGAATTATATTCTCATATTTCTGCTTTTTTTCATATTTCACGAAGAGTATTTTCGTATTTTCATATTTCTTTTCATATTTCATATTTTCGTATGTATTTTCATATTTTTTCATATTTCTGTTTCTTCGAAAGTTTTCCTTTTCAAAAGAAAAATAGTTCATGAATTTTCATCAAGTTGGAATGCAGATTTTGAAGATGATGGGTGGTTGGTTATGCTGAAAGATTTAAATTATCTTGAGGAAATCTGATATTCTATGAATAGTTATAATTATCGCTATGCAAATTCCATTGGTGGTTCAGTTATTCCGAGAAGACTTGATTACATGATTGAGTTGTTCACAGTAGAGAGAAAGGCAACTGATTGAATGTTTTGTTAAAGATGATGGCATTAGAGCAGTTGTGTATGTTGTTGCTGATGAGTGACAATATCGATCGATGCTTCGAGAGTTGTCCTCCGAGGACGTTCCTTCCAGCGCTTTGTAAGATATTTCTCGATGAAAGCGCCACTGAAAATGTTCTCGAGGTGCGCTTCTCGGTTTCATTTTTACTTTTATTTTATAATATTCATTCGTAATGACTCAAAGCAATAATATTTTCATTCAATTTCATTCAGTCAAAGCAAAAAGTAATTTCAGTTTTCAATATTTTCATTCAATAATATTTTCAAAGCAAAAAGCAGTAATATGCATAATACTCAAAAGAGAGCGATTCAATTTCTGATTTGTTGTCAGCTGTCAAATGATGTGATGTTAGGATTGATTTGAGGGTGTTTGTGTGAACA